GTAGAACTAACATGGCGTTTAGACCCAACAATTACGTAGAACTAATAACTTAAATAAATTACAACTAACATGATATCTGTTAGAACTAACACTAGAACTAACACATTAAATAAATTAGAACTAACACGAGCTGGTAAAAATTAGAACTAACCACATTAGTTCTAATTTATACAAAGTTAGTTCTATTTTATAACAAGTTAGTTCTAATTTATACCAAGTTAGTTCTATTTATACCACGTTATAGTTCTATTTATACCACGTTATAGTTCTATTTTATACCACGTTATAGTTTTATTTTATACCACATTATATCTAATTTATACCAAGTTAGTTCTATTTTATACCAAGTTAGTTCTAATTTTATACCACGTTAGTTCTAATTTTATACCACGTTAGTTCTAATTTATACTAAGTTAGTTCTAATTTATACAAGTTAGTTCTATTTTATAACAAGTTATCTCTAAATTATACAATGTTAGTTCTATTCTGTAGCGTGTTAGTTCTAATCTACACCATGTTAGTTCTATTCTGTAGCGTGTTAGTTCTAATCTACACCATGTTAGTTCTATTCTGTAACGTGTTAGTTCTAATCTGCACAATATTAGTTCTATTCTGTAGCGTGTTAGTTCTAATCTATACCATGTTAGTTCTATTCTGTAGCGTGTTAGTTCTAATCTACACCATGTTAGTTCTGTCGCAGTTCATGTTAGTTCTAGTGTATGCCACGTTACTTCTAATTTATACCAAGTTAGTTGTAATTTATAGCAAGTTAATTCTATTTTATACCACGTTATAGTGTTATTTTATAACAAGTTAGTTCTAAATTATACCACGTTAATTTTATTTTATACCATGTTATATCTAATTTATACCAAGTTTGTTCTATCTTATAACAAGTTAGTTCTAATTTTAACCATATTAGTTCTAATTTATCCCAAGTTAGTTCTAATTATACCAAGTTAGTTCTATTTTATAACAAGTTAGTTCTAATTATACCAAGTTAGTTCTATTTTATAACAAGTTAGTTCTAATTTATACCAAGTTAGTTCTATCTTATAACAAGTTAGTTCTAAATTTAACCATATTAGTTCTAATGTATCCCAAGTTAGTTCTAATTTATACCAAGTTAGTTCTATTTTATAACAAGTTAGTTCTAATTTTAACCAACATTTACGCTAGAACTAACGCATTAAATAAATTAGAACTAACACGAGCTGGTAAAAATTAGAACTAACATGAGCCGGTAAAAATTAGAACTAACATGAGCTTTGATAGAACAAACATGAGCTAACTCTAGTTATTTATGCCCTTTTTTAAGCTCTATCATGAGCTAACTCATGTTAGTTCTAACTTATTTTATGTTAGTTCTAATGACAAGTAAGAGCTAACTTTAAGTGGAACTAACATTAACACTTTGGCTACTTGGTCAAGTGGTAAAGCTTGGGAATTTGAAGAGGAGATCAGGAGTTCAAACCCTTGCAACTACAATATATATTTAAAGGTCTTTGATTGGGCCTTGGGGCTCTTTGTTAGTTCTAACTAATTTAATGTTGGTTCTAACTTGCTCTTTGTTAGTTCTAACTCACTTAAAGTTAGTTCTAACTTGCTCTTTGTTAGTTCTAACTCACTTCATGTTAGTTTTAGTTCTAATTCATGTTAGTTTTAACTCGTTCTTTGTCTAACCCACTGCATGTTAGTTCTAGTTCTAATTCATGTTAGTTTTAGGCTCTTGTGCTCTTTGTTAGTTCTAACTCATTTTATGTTGATTGTAACTCACTTTATGTTAGTTCTAGTTCTAATTCATGTAGTTACTTTCACCAACATAAAATCTATAGACAATTGGGAGTACACAAGCTCATACTTGATGTAGTTACTTTCACCATCCTTCTCAAGGGAATGGCTATGCAAGGAATGTTGAAGGAAGCAGCAATAATTTTCTTTCAAATACTAAAGAGGGGATTTATGCCAGATGCCGTAGCACACTGTAGTTTGGTCGATTGCTTGTGCAAGCATGGCAATCAAATTGCTGGGTTTAAACTTTAAGAATGATGCTTAAAAATGGTGTTCATACTGATATTTGTTGTTTATAATGTTCTCATAAAGAAGGTAGAACGGACAGAACTAACATGGCAGTGAACAGAACTAACGTAAGAGATAACAGAACTACTATGAAAGCAGGTAGAACTAACGTAAGAGATGACAGAACTAACATGAAAGCTGGTAGAACTAACAGTCCAGTCCTTAGAACTAACAGTCCAGTCTTTAGAACTAACAGTTCAGCCATTAGAACTAACATTTCAGCCCTTAGAACTAACAGTTTAGCCCTTAGAACTAACATTCATAGTTCTAATTTTCCTTGTCCCCCCTTTCAAATTCACAGGTTCTTAGATTCTTTAGTCGACTTTTAATCACATTATCTTTAATTTTTAGCTAAATGTCGACATGCCTGAAGATTCAATGTGAGCTTTTGAAAATTTTTGCTGTTAATCTCTTATACAGAACTTTGTCAATCACCAAATCACACAAGAAAAATGCATTAAAGGAAAACCCAAACCACTGTTTAAGAATCCAAGGAGATCCTATTTCAATTAAATGAAAGAGAAAAACTACAAAAACCCAATATTGATTCCCTTCATAAATTACAAGAAAACAAGAGCACTATCTTGATTAAGACATTGATTTGGGTAAAGATATTCCGTAACTTAGAAAGGGGAGAACAACGATGCATCGGACCAAAGCTCCGGGCTTCGTCAGCTCGCGGGTCCTACCAGGCCATGTTCCGTGTTTGTCGTTGAACCCGCGTTCACGAACTGTTTCTAAGATGACTCCCCGACCTCCGACTCCATGACCACCGTCCTCGCCTTCGCCTTCCACGACCTCCCCAGGGTCTGATCATTTTCAGTGGCCATGACGGAAGTGAGAGAGAAGGAAGAGAGAGAGAGAGAGAGAGAGAGAGAGAGAGAGAGATGGGATGAGGTTAAAGGGATGGGCGCAGTTACTAAGCTCAATCAAATCAAATGATAAATTTGTAACTTTTGTTGGGCTTTTCTCAGGATCTGATACTTTAACACAAATACAATGTGTATTTGGGGCTTATACACATGGGTCAGAATACAAGGGGGCGGGTCACATGAACTTTCTACTTTTGGGGTCTGGACACATTTTTCCCAAATTTCTATCCCGCCAGGTAGGATGCACGTACATTTTGTTAAATATCATGATTATTTAAATTAATAAAAAAAATAAAAATAAAAAATAATGTTTTTGTTGGATTGATCATCAACTCAATAATCTCTCTCTCAAATAAAATATTGTTATTATTTCATTCAACCCAGACTGTGGCGACATAATCTACTATTTGTGAGTTATAAACACATTGATCTAGTAAAACACCTCTATTGATTATTATCTTGAAGTCTTTAAAAGCTGAGTGATCATTCAATTCGCGAAAGAATTTTGCATATGAATTTTATTTGAAATATGTCCATTAAACTTTTACTTGTGGTTTGACTTATATTTACATTTAGTTATGATTTTACTCATATTTACATTATCTATATTTTTATTCAATTTTATAGCTCATTCTCCGTATCATAGAAGTAAAACTGGAAGTACGTAGAATTTTTTGTGTGAAATTAAAGCAGAGAGATTATGATATATTTCACCATCTACTCTTAATATTTAAAAAAAAACTTTGATGCAAGGTCCTTATTAAATCTTTGCACAAACGATGTGAATTAAATATGCTATCATAACTCACTTGCCTATGTAATATGCTAATAGAAGTACCGATTGAACCTAAGTTATGAACGAATAGACTTTAAGATGTATAAAAAGAAATCTATACGAAATTTTATAGATTTAAGAAATTTTATAGACTAGACATTTAAAATGGTTTTAGAAATCTATTACTATATATAAGAGTATAAAATTGTAACTCCATGCCGTGAAATTAACTTTAAATTACCCTACGTTCTACCTAAAGAGAAGGGTACATTTCAAAGGGGAAAATAAACAAATACTTTGTTGTGTTTTCCATGAAAATCCTCAGTACTTTTGTAATTCCTGTTGAACACCAAATACTTTTTCCACACAATCCCTAAGGGGCTGTTTGGTTTGCATTTTTTGTCCTTGTTTCCTTGCCAAAACTGACAAAAGTTATCAGTTTTGACAGCTTTACTTGCAAAAACGCCCCAAAAATGGGCGTTTTTACAAGTAAAGCTGCCAAAACTGATAGTTTTTGTCAGTTTTGGCAGGGGACCCAAACAAAAAAAGCCAACCAAACAGCCTCTAAACCACATATATTTATTTTTTTAATAAATATTTTCAAAATACCCCTTATATTAGATAATTTGCAAATAAACAGCTTTCTCTCTCCCTCTTCCCCTCCCCCTAACGATCCAGCCCCACCCAATAAATTTGCAAATTGCCTAAGACAAGTTTTTTATAAAAAAAAAGTAATTGAAAGGATGTTGCTTTATTTTATTTTTTAATTTTTTCATGAGAGGTATTTTTATCACTTAGAATTGTGAGGAAACATTTCAGGTCGGACAAACAAAGTATTGGGGGTTTCGTGGGTGACACACCAAAAATAATACGGTTTTGTGAAATTTTGACTTATGAAAAATAAAATATGAAATTTGATTCCCCTCCACTAAGAAAAAATAGCGAAGAGACTTCTACAATATCATAATCGTTAATTTACTTGGTAGATAGTTATGATTTAATACATATCTAGTACTCACAATATCCTAATGAATTGTATTATTTTCTGAATTTACACTCAACTTCATATTACAACCCCTTGCTAAAAAAAATCAACAATTGTGGTATTATAGTGGTCACTCCACTATTCTTCTTCTTTTATTTTGCTTTTATTTATTTAATTTTTTTTTCCAGAGGATCTGAATCATAAAATACGGGCCATACTTGGGCTCATAATTTGAGCTTTCATTTGCAGGCCCAGTGATAAAAAAGGAGAGGGCTACTCAACGAGCGCTCTCCCACCCTCTCTCTCCCTCACTGCGAACGGAGATCCGAGTTTAAAGCGGTAAAAAAAATACTGCTAATTTCAAAGCTCTTTCTCTCGATAAAGAGATGGAGAACTCCGCGGTGATCTTAGCAGCGGTTCTCCTTCTCCTCTCGTGCCTTCTCCCATCAACCCTCGCCGATCCCGTGCGGTAACCTGATCCACTCTCCTCCTTCTCCTCCTTTCTTTCCCTCACTAAAAACCCTAGAATTTTCCTAATTTTGAAAGACTGATTCAAAATAATAATAATTCAGGTCTGGCAATGGGAACACGATTACGGGTCTTGTGAAGGTAGCCGGTACGAATCTGACCTCCTTTTCACTTTGTTCTTTATTTCATGGATTTATGTGGATCCCGGTGGTTCTCGTAAATTCCAATTTTTATTTGAATTTTTTTGATAGTTTAGTTGATTGTTTGTTGGTAATAGTAATTGAGGTTGTAATTTTTTAGACTGAAAATTTATTGGAATTAGAGCGAGTTAAAAGATTGAAAGTGAAATGGGGGAGGGAGGAAACCCTAGAATTGGTTCTTGGTAGCTTGTTACTGAATAATGTGCTTGCTTTAAGGAAATTCATTTGGTTCTTGGTAGCTTGTTACTGAATAATGTGCTTGCTTTGAGGAAATCCATTCTCTTTATAAGAGAAGGCTTTTAATGCACCAGACAACGTGGGGGTTTTTTAGTAGGGAGGAGAAACGAAGGTCGTTGAAGGGGGAAAACTTGGTGGGATATAGAGAAGATGAAATTTAATTTAAGTTGGATAATGTTTAGATCATTCCAATTTCCTCACTGATTCTAACGCCTGATTGTTAGCCCTTTTGCAAAACTGCACGCGCTAAAAAAGCTTTGATATGAAGTGGAGGATTCTAGCCGGAATTAGAGCGAGTTAAAAGATAGAAGTGAAATGGGGGAGGGAGGAAACCCTAGATTTGGTTCTTGGTAGCTTGTTACTGAATAATGTGCTTGCTTTGAGGAAATCCATTCTCTTTATAAGAGAAGGCTTTTAATGCACCAGACAACGTGGGGGTTTTTTAGTAGGGAGGAGAAACGAAGGTCGTTGAAGGGGGAAAACTTGGTGGGATATAGAGAAGATGAAATTTAATTTAGGTTGGATAATGTTTAGTTCATTCCAATTTCCTCACTGATTCTAACGCCTGATTGTAAGCCCTTTTGCAAAACTGCACGCGCTAAAAAAGCTTTGATATGAAGTGGAGGATTCTAGCCGGAATTGTGATCATGGAATGAACTTATCTCATCCAATTTGGATGAAAATGTTTAATATAATAATGAAACTCGCGACTGAGTCGAAATACTTGAAGGTGGGAAAAGGATTAATTTAAAGCACTTCTTTTTGGGTTTCCATGGGAAAAGATTCAGCATGGTTAACTAAGTTGGTGAACAAAATCCTAGTAAATGGAGGAGTACTACTTTTGTGCCTGTTTGTAAAACAGAAGGCGATAGAACTTCAAAAATGATTGAGTGATAGGAGGAAACTGGTGTCCAATAGTCAATTTTGACTTTGTGCTAGGAAGATTGCAAATGGGCTAGCGAAAGAAACACTGGCGTTCACAAGTCAACTTAGTTTTGTGTTTTTGGAAGATCGAGCAAGGACTGAGGAAGCAAACATTAGTCTCCAAAGTTAAACTAGTTTTGTACTGGAAAGTTGAGTAAAGGCTAAGCAAATAAACATTGGCGTCCAAGAGTCAACTATGTTTTATTGCTAGGAAGGTCAACAATAGAAAATTTACTTGCTAGATGATCGATAGTCAAGATAGCGAAAAATAATTCACATAATGATTTAGCTTAGAAAGTCTTATGATTATCCTGAAAGGGATATAATATTGTAGGTTATATAGTAATAGAAAAAGAATACATGGATAATATAATGGAAGCATGAGAACAGTAGGGGAATAATTTAAGTATTCCAGAGATAGTTTTAGAAGGCACAATTTTACACACAATTTTTTTTGATGAATACATGAACAAGTATCCAGGTAAGCTTGTGATTTGCTTCTAACAATTTGCTTCAGTTTCTGCTCACCATAAAGACATACATAGCTTAACTCACTACTCTCTCCATGTTGAAATAAAACTGCCCATTTGATCATCATGGTGTTGTCTATGTTTAAGCTAAATTCCATAGGAATATTATAAATTTTGTTGTTACTCGTACAATGAGATGGTTTTTTTATTATTGTAGTACAACTGTCCAATTGCTAGCTGAATCTAGCTCTGCTGATCAATAAATTAGAAATGGAAGTTTGTGGACTGGGTATATATAGCTGAAAGTCTGAAACTCTACCTTCCAGCAGGCGTAGGGTCAGAAGATTTTGGCCTTCCTGCAAAGACCTTAAACACTTAATTATTTTTATTATAGTACAAATTTCAATTGCTAGCTCTTCTGATCAATAAATTAGAAATTCAAGTGTAGTGGGTATATGTAGCTGAAGGTCTGAACTCTTCCTTTTCCAGCAGGCACAGGATCAAAAGGTTTTGGCCTTCCTGCAAAGATCTCAAACATTAAAGTCATACTTAACGGTGGTCAAAGTGTTTCATTTGTTAGAGCAGATGGTTACTTCTCCTTGTATCCTTCATGCCTAAAATTTTGTTTTTCTATATTCACTGTTTGCATAGTGAATCCTATGGCTGTATATCCACGATTTTGTTATCATTATATGCTATGTAAAATATGTTTTAAGGCCGTATCAAGAATCAGAATAGGTAGTATTGAATGCTCAAAGACTGTTCTTCAAGATACAGCCCCAATACGGCCATTGTCAGTTTTTGTTGTGACCTTCCACCAAGCTGTCTTGAAGTCTCTCTATGCTGATGTCTGATAAGTTGCAGCAGAATGATTACCATTTTGATTACACCTCGACTCATTCAATGTTAAACCTTATGCTCATTGAATTGTTTGTTCAACCTATCATATCCGCTACTGGCCCATGACTTTCTTGCCTCCAAGACATGCTATTTAGGTTTTCTACATTATATAAGATGCTAAGCTGTGTCTTTTTATCCCATAGTGTAGCCCAATGGTTTTCCATAACTTATGGTTAGTAAATAAAGTTGATGATGCACCTGAATCATCATGTATACTATAGAGAGACAAGAAGCTATATTTGATAAACATGGAATTGCAACCTTGCTTTTAGATTTTAACACAAGTATTGCCTTTATTTGCCTCTTAGCCAGCATATTGGAGTGCATGTATATAAAGCCTTTCCATGAAATAAGCTTTATTTCATTTAAGACTAGTGGTAGCTAGACTACAATCCCTAAACTACTTTTGTATAACTATCAAGGTTTTAAATATCGGATATCGGGGAAATATCGGATGGCCAAAATTCATATCGGATTGCGGATATAGGGGAAATATCGGGGATATGTGGCAAATATCGGAATGTCATAATGAATGTTTTCATACATAGTATAATGCATTAAAATGTAATCTCAACATATGTAATGAAAATTTAAGCATACAAAATATAAAAAATGTATGTTTAGGATCACTAATCAACCTTCTAAAACAAAAAAAGTGCAAAGCAACGTTGCAACATTTGATCTGCTTTTTAGGGCAAAATGTCATTTGATATAATGGGGAAATCTTGATATCTCCCCCAAAAATTCCAAACATGGTATATTATTTTGCAACAAGCTATATAAAAAGATATATTGGTCCATATATCGGCTAATATATCGGTCATATCAGGGATTTATCACTCAAAATAGCCAAAAAGCGGTAAAAGATATTATATCGGCTAATATATCGGTCATATCAGGGATTTATCACTCAAAATAGCCAAAAAGCGGTAAAAGATATTTAAAGACCATATCGGTTGCGTAGCCAAAAAGCGGTAAAAGATATTTAAAGACCATATCGGTTGCGGCAAACCCTGTAAAAGGATATATCAGGGGATATATCGGGCCATGTCGGGGATATTTAAAACAATGATAACTATAAACAAAAGTGTGGGGTCCTTGATGACTTATAATAGCAAATCCAAGAGGAAGGAACCTCACAGTTTTGTTTCTAGTAGAACAAAAGTAGTTTAGGGATTGTAGTCTAGTTATTAGCCTTCATCTAATGACTAAATGACATTGTGGACTTGTTGCATAAAAATTCAGTGGAACATCTATTATGTCCTGAGAGTTAAGTGTATCTTACTTGACGATACTGTTTTTATTTTCTTTTTTTGAATTATTCTTGCAGGACGCTAATCATTTTACACATTAAAAGTTTTAGGAGGGACTGTGAACAAAGTATGTATCTGTATCGGACGACCAATCTTAATTCAATTTAATATAGGTGTCTGCTTGTGCTACTGTAAACTTTGATATTGTTTTTATCATGCTATTTCTGATGCATTTCAAACTATGATGATTGATTGACTGCTTCAGACTTGGTTTGAAAGGTTTCAGCTTTAGAGAACTATCAAATTATTTGTTCTCAACTTTTCCTGAGAGTGTCTTCGCGCCTTCATATTTGTAAATGTAGGTAACGCGGATTCAATTTTCTTTATGCCAGCAGCTCCTGTTGTTGGCTTCTGAAAATTGATTTATGTTTTCATGGCGATGGCTCTGAAAATAATTTTAACGGTACAAGTTCCAAAGGACTTCGGTCTTTTAGAACTATGATTTATACACAGAAATATGAAGTTTCTAATTAATTGGAATGGGCTAGTCATTGACCCTTGTAATTTGGTAGTTAGAATGTACCAGCTTTTCTTTTCAATTCTTTGACTTATTATCCCTCAGCTACAACGTGCCAGCTGGTACTCATCTGATTGAAGTGGTTGCACTAGGTTATTTCTTTTCACCGGTAACTCTCTTCCTCTCTTTGGACGTGTGTTTTTGTATGTGAGATGCTGTTTAAAGCTGGTAAAAAATATTGTGACTGCTGTTTTTTCACTTTATATTATGGTTAGGTTCGTATTGATATCAGTGCGAGAAACCCTGGTAATGTTCAGGCAGCATTAACAGAAAACAGAAGGGCTTTGCATGAATTGGTGTTAGAACCCTTAAGAGAAGAACAATATTATGAGGTATGCTAGATTTGAATTTCAATCATATGATTTTTGCCTCTTGTGAGTAACTTCATTAAAAAGGTTAATCTCTTTTTTTCTTACTTCCGTAGATAAGAGAGCCTTTTTCAATTATGTCTCTTTTGAAAAGTCCTATGGGTCTGATGATGGGTTTCATGTTGCTTATGGTGTTCGTGATGCCCAAGATGATGGAGAATATGGGTATGATTCTGATCTTTAATTTAATTTTCCATAATATAAAGGCTGGTCGAGGTGTTAATGATAAACTTCATCTCACAGATCATATTACTCTATCAGCACATTAACTAAATATGCTGTACTTTCGTTGGAACTTGAAAGACTTTTAATGGAGTGTTTTTCATGATCATTTTTAGTAAGGGTTAACTGCAGATGCGCCCCGTGACGTCAATATGTTGCGGAGGGATCCCCGAAGTTTAATTGTGTTGCGGAGAAATCCCCTATACTCTTATAGGCGTGTGCATGCAGAGAGATAAATCCATTTATGGGACAAGGTTTCTAAGTGCTTATGAAATTTTTTACAACCTCCTATAGTACGGGGCTGTATCTGCAGTAAGCTTTAAACTAATGACATATAGCATGCATTTAAAACTGGGAATATAATGATCGGAAATATTTTCTTTAGAGTGGGACAGGGGGTTTAAGTGCTTATAAAAATGTTTGGGGTGATGAGTGGCTAACCAAGTAACCCTCGTTAATACAAAGGTTGTATCTGCAGTTAACCCTTTAATTCATGACCTAGCATGCATTTAAAACTGGGAATATAATGATCGGAAATATTTTCTTTAGAAGTGAGACAATTGTATGTGGAAACCCCTTTTTCCATCTAAACTTGTAGTCACATACAATGAAACTGTCCTTCCTGTCTTTGCAGTTAATAGTAGAGATGTATCTACAGGTCAGGTAAAACCATAAATCTAACGTTTATGCATTTTGGATACATATCTTATACGTCTTTGATAGGTCCAGAGTACATATATCTGTAATATATAATCGGATATCAATGAGTATCGATGAAGTATCTGAGTATCCAGATAATGAACAAGTAATGGAAATAAATGTCTCAGCATCAAATAATTAATGCAACATGGGATGGAAGTGTATTTTAAAACCGGTGCAAAGCTATTAAGTATCAACCAGATATGATATAAGTGTACATGATATTAGCACTGAGAATTTGATCAATTTGACTGTACTTGTTCGGTTGAATCTCTTCTGACGTAGATTTTAATGCCAGGAGAACCTTGAGCCTATGTAGCACGGACACGGATCCGACAAGGCCATCCGACACGCCGTCACGAGGCAAATCCTAAAAAATACATAGGATACGTGTGTCGAACACATGTGTCTGACACGTACACGACACGACACGGCTTCACGTTATGCGTGTCCGTGCTTCATAGCCTTGAGCAGTTGGGAATCTCAATTCCATAACCACTTCCAGCATACAAGTTGAACTTCACCAAAACTAATTGTATCTCCTGCGACAATTGCATATAAACAACAAGCTTCTAGTGTAGTATCCCTCTATGTTATATGACCCTTCCTACAAATATATATGGCAATTTGGTCAAGGCGTTTGACATCTTTTCCTTTTGACCTTCAGATCCGGAAGAAATGAGGAGAGCCCAAGAAGAGATGAGAAGCCAAGGGGGCCTTGCTGGTATGCTGACTGGAGCTGCAACCGGAGCTACAAGAAGCAACTAAACAATTGAAGTTTATGTGATCAGAAGTCAAGCCTCAGGTTTGTAGCCAAAAGATATCAGTTGCCTTTTCTCCGGAACATGATCAATATTGCTAACCAGTCATGCTTCTTTTACTGATTAAGATTAGCAGAAAGCTGCATGAATCGAGATTTGTAACTTCTCCCATAAGTAAGATTCTTTGTACATTCATCATTCGAAGTGTGAGTTGCATCTTTTTGCACGTGCTTTAATTCTTTGTTCTATGTTCATAATCGGGACAAACAAAAATCAATATTGTGTGATCAATATTATTGCAGTCTGATATATTCTGATATCATATATTCATCTTTGTGACTCAGATGCCTGATTTTTGAACATGCAGTGTCATAGCTGCAGTTTCCCTTAAAATTCCTGAGCATTCAGGTTATGCGATAATAGTTGCTTTAGAGAAAATCTGTAGCTTCAAGTTGCTGCGAATTTTCATAGAGATGTTATTCATGTGAAAATACCAAAAGAGAGCAAGAAAACCTCAAAACCTGCTTTAAGGTTTTCCTCCAGAAAAAGTGTTCTTTAAGATTTTCTTATGTTTGTTGGGAAAATAAAAACTTTGCCCGCCCACACAAAGATATTAATTAGTAGTGTTCTATAGTGCACGCAAGTTCTCTCATCTAATTTTGATCATTCGTTGGTTGTTCTATATATAGTCATTATTTTTCAATGATACTGTATTTGGAACTCTGATTAAGATATTATTATTATTTAAATCTATCACCTTGTGGCTGTCATCTACATGTTTTAGAACAGGAGTAGCTTGTCTATGTTGAACTGGCTTTTTAAGGTCATGACTCGCATTTAACATTGCCTGGATTCCCATGATTATGACCTGTGGCTTAAATTTCTTTACGTTTCAATTGCTTGTTACTTTTGTTTAATACTTCATTTCTTCATCTTTTAAGATTGGGTGTTTCTCTTCCTCTGTCAAGCTTTCCTATTTTATTGCTTCATATTTCCTAGGCAATTGCTTGTTATTCTATATATCATAGCTGGTTACCAACTAAATACTAGTTTACAAACTAGGACAATATACAAACCATAAGTTACTGTATTAAATAAGCCCTTATCCAGCAGCCAAAGTGGTAATATAACATTAATGAAATACCTCCGATATAGCGAAAGATCTACTATGTTATAATGAGATGATCATAAAATAACAGTTTCAAAGAATTAAAGGTTTTACCCAAGAAAACAAAACAGCGGAAGATGTTTTTTTTTTCTCTTTTCCTTTTTTTTTACTAAGGAGTAACTGTTTACATGTGATCACCACATTCAACAGAATGCTGGTGAACATAATGACCCTGTTAAACAAAGAGGACAACTACAACTGGGACACTCAAAGCAACAACATATCATCAAACTTCCATCGCCCTACACCTAAAGATCTGTGAAGGATGTTACTAGGTAAGAAGTCACTTAAGGCTCAGAGAATGTGATCCATATCTGTACACTTCCAAGCTTCTCTAACTTAAGGAAACTTAAAAAAGTTATCGGTTATAGAACGATGAAGTCAGCGAGTAGGAGATTTGGGCCATCGGTCCTCGCTCGCGCGCTAGTTCATTGATATCCTTGACGATATCAAACACTGCATCAGGCTGAGCCAGTTTTAGCGCGTTCTCTGATAACCTCTTCAGCTCTTCCTTCTCAGGACCAAACCATTTCGCCACGTGATTAGCTGTTTCTTTTGGGCTTTTTGAGTATATTCCAGCTCCATTGCTTACTACGTAAGGGACATTTCCAACTTCCTGCAACCATAGACATCAGTTACACATGTCCGTTTGAATTTTGAGCTCGGGGATGAAAGTATGGGTCTGTGTATGAACCTGTCCCGGGATGAAGTCATTTAGGATAATTGGAAGCCCCCTTATCAGAGCCTCAGCAATGGTACCAGGACCCGCCTAAAACCCGAATAAAATTCATCAATATATAGACCGATAACCGTCTTTTATGGATAGGGTTAATCGTTGATAGAGCCCTTGTACTATCGCCCAATTGTGGATGGAGCCCCCCATAGTTCTATTGTTCCAGATAGACCCCAACCCCTTGAGTGAAAGTTTTAAACTCTTTTACCCTCACAGTAAAAGAAAATTGTTTTTTTTTTGGCAAATAGAACTCCTGAGGATAATTGAGTCTAAAAATTTTACCCTGGGGGTGGTAACTGTGTCTATCTGCAACTAACCCTTACGGATACTAAACAGACCCCATACCTTCGTTATAATGCAATCACAGGCTCCCATCCATTTCTCCATCTGAGTTTCAAATCCTCTTATCTGTCAATACATGAAATAGAACTGAGCGTTAGAATTATCGAGGTCTGAACGTGTTCAAGAAAATGTATGCAGACAACGGGAGATGTGATACCTTTACGGGCACCTTCCACTCATACCCACCCAATGTCGAGCCTAACTTTTTATTACGTCCACAGATGATAACAATCTGACCTATAGGTCTTCTGAGCTCTCTATCGAACAGCGCGTCTCCTAGGGCTTTCGCTGTTTTTCTAACGGGTCCCATCCCTTCGCCCCCTCCCATAAGCAAAACTGCAGGCAGATTCGGGTCCATCTCCAATTCTTTTCTCAGATCATCCTGGTCGCATCACATTCAAGTTATGCATCACTATGAAAGATCATTAGACTGTAGACAGCTAATGTCACTGACCTTGTTGAGAACCGCTCGACAGAATGAAGGCCTAATAGGCAAACCGAAAACTCGAACCTGAGAAGACTCGAGACCGTCAAGTGAAGCCCTTTTCGACACTTCGTCAGAGGGGCAGTAACATCTATCCACCCCAGTGTGAAACCTAAAGTGTCAATATCAACCAAAATCACTAAGCAGAAATGGCAGAGCTAGGGTTTTGATCGAAGCAGGGACTAGCCGAGTACCATGTAGGGTGGCAAGTATTGAGATCAGTGATGACAGTGGCAAAGATGACCCTGTTCTGAAGGTTTTGCCATTTGAGCACCCACAGAGGGATATGTTGCATGAGGGGATGGACGCTTATGATTATGTCTGGCTTGTACTTCATGAAGCCTGCCTCCACCTTCCTTCAGCATCTCGAAATAGTAAACAAGTTAGGCTCATACCAAGTTATCGAGTAGTGGCGATTTGGGGTTTCTTCGAAAAGAAGGGAGCGAGATAGGCGCAGTGAACCCAGCGAGGGGAGGTGCTGTGAAAGGCGACCCTCCAGAGCTGGACATGCTTCACCATGAACTTGTAGGAGCTCTCCATGTTGTTTAGAGGCCACCCTGCATATTCCTTGCATAAATCCTTCACAAACACCTGAAAGTTAAAAACAGTGAATTTTTTTTTAGTAAGGGGATGCAAAGTAAGAAAATGCTAAAAAGTGACGGGTTATAACACGGAGAAAATGTTAAGCAAAACTAGGAATTACGAGCAAGTTTATGTCAAAAAATGCGAAAATAACAAGTAGGAAATAATTTGGTAGAAGTCCGACAGGTAAATTATAGGCAAAAACTTGGCATGAAACGGAGTAAGAGTCCCCCCATTTGGATAATTTCCTTAAAATTAAGGATAATTTCCTTAAAATTAAGGATAATTTGCTTAAAATTGGAACTCCCCCCATTTTATTGGGATACATGAGAAATAAAGCATAGATTACAATAGCAAATCAAAACCAAATCAAGAACCATGTAACCAAAAAACAAGAAAGTTGATGAGTCGACGACTTGAACATTATTATTTGATAATTACCTCGAAAGATATAATTGGATAAAGAGGGGTAAAAACACATGTTTATTGGGGGGAAAAACAAGGGATGACAAAGTAATTCAAAAAAAAAAAAACAATGATAAATATTTTTCTTTTTTCATCACCTACGTACGTACCCTGTACCTATCTCCAAACTCAAGCTTAAAAGCATCTCTAATGGCCTCAGCCGAAGCCCTGTGACCTCCGCCCGTGTCGCTCATCAAGATCAACACATTCTTGGGCCTCAGTTCTGCGCCTAGCTGAACCAGCTCCATGGACCCTTCTTCCTCCTCTCCCCACGGGACGACCTCCTCGTCTTCATCGTCAGAGGCCAAGCTGCAGTTCCTCATGTGGCCGTGTGGGCTTTGTCGCCGTATTTCCTCCTGCTCCTGGTGAAAAGCAAGAAGGGAGTTGAGGAGGACGCTTCTCATTGGTCGTCGAGGCGAGAGCTGTGACAAATCCATGGAGGAGGAGGAGGAGGAGGAGGATGGTTTGTTTTGTTTCTTGCTGTTTTTGTTTTGTGTTTGGTTTTGGTTTGAGAGGAGAAAAGAGAGGGAGAGGAGAGGGCGAAAGGTTATTTATATTGGTGGGGTTAAGTGCTTTAACTATAAATATGCATGATGAGAAGAATGGCTTGGAAGGAGGAGGGATATTTGTTTTTTTTATAGAAAAAAGGATATCCCTTAATATGGTTTGTTTTTCTTGTGGTGGTAATTTAAATAATCATATGGGGGGATCATCTGATTGGATGAGTAAGGTAATATGTTTTGTTATGATCATGATACTTTGATTAGAAAAATCTTGTGATTTGGATGTGTGGGTTTTTTTTTCATTTATCAAAATCAGAAAGAAAAACAGACGTCGAACTTATACGAGGGGCAGGTTTTTGAGAGGATTAATTCTTGAAGATAACTCAATCTATTGAGTATTGTTTTATAAGCCAAGATCTCAAAAGTTTCGGTGATGATGCCACCGAGATATTTTTCACCCTCAAATAATTTAAGTATAAACTCAAATAATATTTATTGTTAGTCCCGTGCAGTTCGAAAAATTCTTCCACAACAAAACCGATCATTTTCATCTTAAAATGATCGGTTTTGCTGATTTTTTTAAAAAAGATCGATTTCGCTATATAAATTTAAAAAATAGGTGTTTACTAAAAGTTATACTAAATATTATTTAAATAAGTTTACAATGCGTAGAGGGTGTTGCTAACTTAATTGTACACGCGTTAGAATGCATATTTGGACATCTATATTGTTGAGCCAAACCATTATTTTATTTTATATATATATTGGAGAATTTTAATGAAGTACACATACACGTCACATCAATTGCTCTATTCGTATTATCAATTCAGATATACTTCTGCATCAAATAAAGCCGAATAAAAAATTTTAGAAATGTTTTGCAACCTGAAAAAAATTTATCTTATGAGTTACAGATATTTCCTTCGGACGACCTTAGGTGTTAGCATTTGCTAACAAAAGACCATTGTTTTTTTTTTTTCGGTTGTATGAAAGGGGATGACCAAATCAACATGTTGTCAAACATATAATTCATGATCAGGCTTGTGTATTGTTATCAAATTATGCATCTAGTAAAAATGTCTTATTGCAAACCAAAAAAAACATTCTTTCTAAAGAAATTGACCATATGGAGCAACACAAATTAACTATTATAAGTAAATTAGTTTCCCTAACACTTAAGGGAGGTTATTGGTTGAGGATTGTTGACTCGGACTATTTCTTGGATTTCAATTTAGGTATTATTGGTTTAGGACTAGAATTTGGATTGATATTTAAGGTATTATTGGTTTAGGACTAGAATTTGGATTTCAATATAAGGTTTTATTGGTTTAGGACTACGATTTAAATTTGAAATTAAGGTTAATTGACTATCAATGACTGTTAAATAGAACTTGTAATTCAAAATCCAAACTCCATTTCATCTCTATATATTTTAATGATAAATTATCTATAGAAAATCCGAGTGAAAATTGGTGGATTGTGATCCCACTCCATGGATTTTCTCTCTTCTCTTAACTTATTTTAAATATTTAATATATTTCATATTAAATAAATATAATTTTAAATATTCATATCTCTAGATTATTTATATATTACCATGGAATGTATCTAATTTTAAAATATTTTAAATCAATTAATTTAAATTTATTTAATCCATTTAAAAACTAAATATATATTCAACCACTTAATATATTTAATATTTAGCATTAAATTAAATATATTTATTATTTAACATCTCTTAATTATATAAATAGTTTAATATTTAACATTATATGTCATACATTTACAGTATTATTTAAATCGGCTAGATATGAAAATATTAAATACATAAATTTTTACACCACAGCCGCACCACACTATATATATACTATAAATTATTAAATATATATATATATACATATATTATATATATATATATAATATATGAGCAGAAATATGGTAGCCTTGGTACAGCAAAATTTTGTGCATTGGTAGTGATGTGTCACATGTCTCATACCACTCACATACCCATGTGAATTTTTCCCGACAATTTAAATGAGTGGAGGAGGACTTTGACACGATGCTCTACCAGAGCACAACTTGTGGGCTTGTAAAGCAAAGACATACCATATTTCTCTCTCTTCTCTCTCTTCTCTCTCTCATCTCTATATAGTATATATAATCATATTATATATATATATATATATTATAGTTCAAAAAAAAAATAATAAAAAAAATATATTCTTTTGGATATTAATTATACAAAAAACGTTTGGTGGTAATATTTTTAAACATAAATTGTCCAATATATTTAATATTTACGCATTTAAACATACAATTAATACAACTTTAGTTCAAACGGCCATCTAAGCTTTAGCCCGAGAATCCACCCTTTAGTCCGAAAATCCAATTTAAAAATTAAAATATCCTACTAAAAGGTCCAGGGCTCTGATTTGAAAATCTTAGTACTAATCTAAATCCAAGGATGTTGGGTTTTTTAATAATTGTCCTACTCTGTACCAAACAATCCCCATATATATTAACATCTTTTTGTACAATGTTGCTCATTCTAAACTGACAGTCTCATAATCTCATTACAATTCGTCTGCTTCTTTAAAAAGTAAATTTCCGTTGGGGGTATCTAACGATTAATAATGAAAGTGACAAATAAAAAAGAAATTTAATTCATAAATAAAATAATAAAGTGACAAATAAAAATTGTATATATTTCATACATTGAAAGTGATAAATAAAAGAGAAAAGTTGAATTTAATTCATAAATAAAACAATAAAGCTAAATTTAACTCATTGCCGTGGGTGTAATCTTCGCGAACAAATAGAGAAAACTTTAGTAGGCAATATTTGTTATCATTCAACGACTGTAAGTAACTTTTTAAGAAAAATAATCATGGATTATCTGGATTTTTATCAGAATATCAGTTTGTCATGTAATCATAAAATAAAATATTGCCTTGATTCAAAATAATGTTTTACTCACAGAATTTGCTAAGGCCCTAGTAGAGATCTTGGTCCAGATAGGGCACGCCCATAGGCGTTAAAGACAATAATAAAGTTTTCCATATTTTTTTTCCTAATTGATCCCAAACATATAAAGATATTTGCACGCTTACGCTCGTAAAACTTTTATCACTCTAAATCATATTTTCTTCATTATATTCACTAGTCTCAACCCAGATGTTGTTGTCGGTACTATTCACCGAGATATATCTATCACCAAATTAATAATATATTTTCTTATACACCTATTTATAAAAACTTTAGGGGAAAAATGTTTCAAGGCCCCAAAACAAAAAACCGGATGTGACCCAGCCCCCCATATTATTTCCCTTATGTTTCAGCCCTTTCACATTCTCCCAGAAATTTTTTTCCCGAAATTACCCTTCCCCTCTTCTTCTTCTTCTTCTCCTCTGCCTCCTCTCCCCTCTCTTCTTCTTCTTCTTCTTCTTCTTCTTCTCCTCCTCCTCTTCTTCTTCTCCAGACCCTTGCCCACACCCCCCACCCGTCCTCCCTACCCCCTCCCCGGGCCCCCTCCCCGACCTCCCCCGCCTCCTCCGTCAATAAGCAGCGAACAGCAGCAGTTGGGGTGGGTGAGGATCTCCTTGGCGATGGCGGGGTCGATGGAGATGACGGCGGGGATGGAGCCCACGGAGAAGGCGAGGAGCTGGGTGGATTTGTGGGTGCGGGCGAGTCGGGCAAGGGTGCGGTGTGGTTGGCCACGGGTGAGGGAGATGAGAGAGCCTAGCACAGGGAGGCCTCTTGGTCCGCGGAGCTGGGTTTGTCCTATTTGGGTGCGGTTGTTCTCGGCCTCGACCTCAGCTGCTCCGCCGGCGCCGCCTTCAGTCCCCACTTCCTGTTCCTATTCTTGTAAGCCAGCGCCAGGCACATGGACGTGAACAGCAGCAGCGGCCCTGTGTAGGCGTACAGTTGATTCGACCAATTGCAAATTTTTATCACACATACATATATATACTACATCTTTGTCATTATCTTTTAGTGTAGGTAAGTTGATGTTATTTGAGAAATGTGCAGAGTGAAAAGAGGATACAGCCAGAACGTAGCGCAGATTCTAATCACACAACAACATCATCTTACCCTTCAAGCTCAGCAACCTGCCAAAATGAATGCTCAAGGCAAAGAGGTTTGCCATAGACAGCAACATGGGAATTAAAAGCATATTTGATACGCCGGTATTATGATAATCTTTATGCAAATACATCCCGCTGACTTTTACTAAACCCACTCTTATTTAGCGTATGTGACATTCAGCATGCTTACAGCATGCCACAACAAGCATTTGAAGCTGCAAAACCATCAATGATATCCTAATGCGATTGCAAGCATCTTAGCACCACTTATCCTTACGCATATTGAATCCCTAGCCGGACTTTTGCTGATTATACAAGTATCAGGAGAACGATCAGCATCTCGCCCAGATGCCATGTTCAAAGTGCTAATTGTACGATTGTTATGTAAAATATATGTGCTGTTCATGAGTGAAATATTGTGGTCTATTTAGTGATCAATTTTGGTTATAATTGTTACGATTGTATGTGAAATATAGTGTGGCGCTTCATCGTGATATGTACAACTTCTTTCAAATAGAACTTGCATGAGCATAATTAGACTGAAGCATTATATATAAATTATGTTCTATCAAACCACTGGAATATTATGATACATAATATGGTCATAATCTTGAGGTATTGTGTACATAATATATACAAATCATCTGTATATAATCTTCAAGCTACAATCACACTATTAAATCTCATTAAGTATAAGCCCTTCACCATGGTCTTACCAATCTGAAGAGATAGAATGGTGAAGCTTCTTCAGATTGCATTAAAGTGCATATACAAATCTGCCGATGCTCGACCAACTATGAGTCAAGTTGCCGAGATGATACATTCATTGAAGGAAGAAGATGATAGATCTGTTGTGTCTGAAATTGATTCAAGAGATGCTTAAAATTGGGGAGTCTGTTTTTATAATGTCCTGGAATTTATGTATATGTTCCGTTTGACTATTATCATTTGCTAGTGTATATGTGTTGGTCACATATGAGGAGGTGGAAAACATTGTTTATTTGTTACACTGATGACATAGGTGATATTAGTCCAAATGGTGCTTTCAAACTCAAATTTAATAAATGAGGATGTCTATTTCTTGTTGATTTCTTTTTTCATGGTATCCTTGACATTAAAAATTAAATAGATTCTTGTCACATATTTTTGTTAATGGACTGTGGTAGAGACACTAATTGCATTATTTCAAATAATGATGGGTCATCTCCGTGTTGCCAGTCCAAATGGCACTTTCAAGTTGAAATTTGACAAAACCTAGCACTGATTTGCATGAAGTGTGTACTCATAACACGTTAAGTTTCAACTAACCATGTTAACGTTCATCATAACATGCTAACTTTCAGCTGAACATGTTAACTTTCATCATAATATGTTAACATTTCCTATTACATGTTAACTTTCATCATAATATATTAAATTGAAGCTATAATAGTTACATGTTAAGA